CCATCTGCCTGGCCTGGGAAGTGGTGGAGGGGCCTTGGAGGGACATCACCTGTGCCTCTGCCTGCATCCGCCCCTTGGCCTGTGCTCTCCTCAGGCCCGACCTGTGTGTCTGCCCAGGATGGCTGACCTCTGCCTGTGCCTGTCTTGCCCACGGTTCTGCATTTCTCATGTGGACGTTCACCTTGCATGGCAGGGCRTCTGCTTCAGGTGTGTTTCAGGGCATGGTCTTTCCCTGCCTTCCAGCACCACCTGTTCTGAGGAAGCCCTCTGCAGGTAAATCTGAAGACCGTGGGTCATGCGAGGGATTCTGCGTTTGGGTTTTGAGCCCTCAGTTCTCATAAACACACGGCCTCTGTTAGAATGGATGGACTGTAAGAGCCCTCCCTAGCCATCGTGCCACCTGGGTTCCCTTCAGTTACTGAGCTCTCTGAGCTGCTGAGCACCCAGGAGAGAAAGCAGGGCTCCCGGGGCAGCTGACCACCTGCCACCTGCAGCACGTGTCTATCCAGAGTGACCTATGGGTCCAGATCACTGGGCGCTGACCACAATGCCTCACTAGATGTGGATTATTTTTTCTTTTTTTAAAAATGTTTTTAGTTACAGATGGACACAATATCTTTATTTATTTTTATGCGGTGCTGTGGATCAAACCCAGTKCCTCACACGTGTGAGGAAAGTGTTCTGCGGCTGAGCTACAGCCACAGCCCCTAGAGGTGGATACTGGAGGCTCACCCATGTGTCTAAGGCAGGTGGGGACTGAGGACAGCCTGGCTGTGCCTCCGCTCCTCTGGGGCCACGCTCTTCCAAAAAATCCTACTGCTGCTCCCACTCAGGCCAGGAGCCTGAGAGTGGCACCCCTCTGTCTGCTGATGCGCTTCCCATGCCGAGGCCTCTGCAGGCTCACACTTCTAAGGAGGTTCACAGGGTCTTGGGCCCCTCCACAGGGATTTCCCCAGAGAGAACACCTTTCAGGGCCATGGCAGCCTCGTGGCCGGCAGGACCCTTACCCCCAGGAGGCCAGCTCCTCTTGCCTTCCTGCCCCACCCGCCCTGGCAGCCTCTACCCTGCTCTGTTGCTGTATCTTGCTATTTCAAGACTATTAGGAATGGATGCTCATGGTTGTGATTCCTGGCTCTGCAATCCCTGGGGACCTGCCAGGCCTGGGCTGGGAGTCCAAGTGCAACCTAGTGCCCCTTGCAGACTGCCTGGCTGTTCCCAGTTGAGGCTTTAAGGATGAAACGTCCACCTGCCAGGTCTGTGAACCCACCTTGGTTTGCCTGGGTTCRATGCCTAGGAGTACAGCAGTAATGGCAGGGTTGCCTGCTGTCCTTTACCCCTGTCAGTGGCCTTGTTAGTGAATTGCTAATAGCACTGTCCCTGAACACAGGTGGCAGGGCCAGGCCAGGCCAGTGCCAGCGGCTCTTAGCCTAATTGGGGAAGGGGCAGCCAGGGTCAGGGAGTACTTGGCCCCCACCTGGGGAGGAGACAGGAGGCAGGAGGCAGAACAGGCCCAAAGGACGTGGCGTGGGATGGCACTGACAGGCCAGGGTCAGTGCAGACATGCAGAGCTGGAGAGGGAGTCGGTGCAGTGCCATTCCCAGGCTGAGCAGGAGAAAAGATCCTCAACAAAGGGACAACAAGGCAAGGCCTCCAGGGCCACACAGACTCCTGTGCTGCTCCACAGTGACCAGCACAGCCCATCCTGGAGCCCCCTGGTCCCCACTCCATGCACGTGATGTCCCAGGGAGTTTAGGACTGTGGATGAAGAGGATGTGTGGGCTTTCTCCACCCTGAGTCAGGGATTGCCCATAGGATATGCCCACTGAACTTGGCCTGAGYTGTCCCTCCCATGAGTCACCAGGGAAGAGGACCCTCAGGCCGCAGATGGACCTGCATGTTCCTCCCAAGCACCCTGGAAGCTCCCAAGTCCTCCAGGCTCATGCTTTTGTAAGGACACACTTAGAACTTCTGGGCTTTGCTGCTCAGAACTGAGTGCACACATGCCTTTGAACAGAGGCTAGCAGGGACATGCTTTGCTCACTTGGTTCTCAACTTCAGACTTCAAAAGAAGTGGTTCAGAGTGCACTGATGGGCAGAGTCCTGAGGGCACCAGGAGGCATGGATGGTGCCGGGGCCAAGGCCAGCCAGCATGTACCACCTTCCAGCACCCCTGCTCTGTCCTCTGTCCCGTTAACAGGCAGGACCTCAGCGAGCATGGCAGTCTAGGAATAAGCTCATGGCCTCCACTTTCAAGATGCTTTTCACAGTCTCCCTCTGTCTTGCAGATTTTTTATTTAAGTTCCTGGTGATAGGAAATGCGGGGACTGGGAAATCTTGCTTACTTCATCAGTTTATTGAAAAAAAATGTAAGTAACATCCTGGGCCATGGTCGGGAAAGGGTGCCTTTGTACTCAGAGGTGCAAGCTTTAAAGGGCTTGGAGAGAAAGCTCTAGGGCCTTTGAGAACAGGGTGGTGTGCATTTCACCTAAAGCCATGAGGTGAATAGGGCGGAGGTGACTTGGCTCCCGGCAACCCCTAACCTCAGTGTCGCTGCCCAGATGGGTTGACCTCTTTCCCTAAAGGTCTAAAATGAAATGCTTTGTTCTTGCTTCTCCTTTTCAGTCAAAGATGACTCAAATCATACAATAGGAGTGGAATTTGGCTCAAAAATAATAAATGTTGGTGGTAAATACGTCAAGTTACAGATATGGGACACAGCGGGACAAGAACGATTCAGGTAGCTTTTCCTCTGATTTAATAAAGTCTCGGAAACTTGGGTGAAATGATCATGTTCTCTCCTCATACAGGCTCCCGCCCCACGTCCTCCCCTGCACTGCCTCCAGCTCCGCCTCTGGAAGCTCCCCCTGAAGAGGCTAGAGCCCAGAGGTCGAGGAGCCTCTAACTCGGCCAGCTCACTGCCGCAGGTCATGGCTGGAGCCGTGTTTAGATGGGAATCTCTGCAAAGCCAGGGCGCATCCACCCRTTGTTCCCTTCCTAGGTGGGGTTTTGAAAAGCTGCTTGGGGCTCCACTCTGTTAGGCATGGAGGCCCAAGGTTGTGGCTAGATGCCTGCAGGGTAGGTGCTCAGCGGGCTGTCAAGAACCTGGGTGCAGGACTTGGGCCACGCTTGGTTGGGTTCCTACAGGTACACCAGGTCAGAGCACACACTCAGTATTGAGATTTGGGAAATAAAACTCACTCCACTACAAACCTTTAGCTTTTCATTAAGATTGGTACATACTGTGCGTTAGTAATATTCAGAAATACCACAGTGTCCCCGCCATCACCACTCCTGGATACCCTGGCTGAACAGTGGTCCCACCTGATATAGCCTCCACCCCAGAGCTCCCAGGACATGAATGACCAGGAGTACCTCTCAAGCAGGTAGGAGAGGGGCCGTTCCTCTTTGTGGGGGCCCCTCCTAGGAGTCCCAGAGAARGCCAGGCTTGGGGACACCAGCTTCCAGAGCCTGGAGAGGTGTAGCCTCTAGGGTGAGGGTCTGAGGCTCTGCCTGGCAGGCAGGCCCACTGCAGGAGAGCCCTGGCCTCCCCCTGTTTCCCCGATGACTACTGGCAGCCAGCTGTGCCAGTACCAGGCCAAGAAAGGGTGACTGCAGGAAAATGGACAGGCTTGAGGGGTGTCGAGGCCCGGCACTGGCTTCCTGGTACAGCAGCCCCAGACCCTCCAGGGATCAGAGTGAGGTTGGCAAGTTTTCCCCAGCCCTCTCCATCCCTGGCTCCTAACAGAAATGATCCAACAGAAGAAACGACCATTGAACACAGTACCGATGGTCAAAGAGCCCAAACCAAGAACATCAGCTGGGACTTTCTGGGAGAAGGGGAAGTCCCCAGAAATAAGAACAAAGAGTGCTGAACACATGTGAAGAGTGCTCTCAGGAAGTGTCCCTGAGTGGCCAGCCTCCCAGACAGCGAGGCAGCAGGGGTAGGGCAGAGACARGCCAGCCTCAGTGAAGGACGAGGGCAGACTGCTCAGGGGTCCAGGAGAGAGCCAGAGCGGCAGCAGAGAGACCACAGTCCAGGTCGCTGGCCCACTCCACCGCAGGGGATGGTGAGGAGGTCCAGAGCAGGTCAGGCTGAGAAGGGAACTCCCCAGAGCCAAGAGGAGAGGTGGAAGGCTCAGAAGTCAGAGCCGCACTAAGCCAAGAGCAGCACYGGGAGCTCCAAGGTGCTGAGGACCCAGTGAGATGAAGGTGAAAGCTGGCTGTGCAGTCAGAGGTCCCTTCCCCAGCACCAGGGCAGGGCCGAGATGCCTTCAGAACTCAGAGGGAAAAGTTTCCAACCTAAAACCCTCACACAGCCCAACTAGCAGGTCAGTGCAGGAGCAAGATGGTGGCCAGAAGATGTGAGGAGGGGTAGAGGCCACCTCCCCTGGACAAAGCCCAGGGACCCCAACCTGAGGAAGGCCCAGGTGGTCAGCATGCGCTGCCGCCCAGCATGAGACTACTGCAGCAGGAAGCACCAGCCCCAAGCACAAACCACTTCAGAGGCACTTTATAGAAATAAGCAGTAAATACCAGAAGAAAGAAACCCTGAGCCTCACAAGCCTGGGAGTTTGTGATCATTCTTCTGTGGCCAGAGGAGTGCCCACTCACGGCTATGTCCTTTAACCACTTAACCAACTGTAAAAAGGGAAATCAAGTCCCAGGAGATTAGATCAGAGGAGGTGACTGGACCCAGGCTGGGAGAGGCTGCTGCCCAGGCTTCACTACCCCTGAGGGGGCAGACACCCTGCCCCCTGCCATGCATGCAGCTGTGCCGCTCTGGGGAAGACACCCTGCCCATCCCAGCCTGACATCCTCCCATTGATTCCATGACATGATTCCCGGAGGATGACACATGTGTTCACACCTCCAGAGTCGTGCTCTTTGACACCAGGYCTGTCTCTTTTGGGGTTCACAAAGCAAGCCTGGGGGTCTGGGGAGGTGGTGCTGGGCAGTGGAGGGTCTTGGTGGTTGAGTTAGAGCTGCTGTTGTCCTTTCAGGTCTGTGACAAGGAGCTATTACAGAGGTGCGGCTGGTGCGCTCCTCGTCTATGACATCACCAGGTAATGCCAGCCCCCCTGAGCCGGGCATTGGTGCCCTGTGTCCCCAGGGCTGGCCTTGGCCAGATGCYTAGGGCAGGGGCCTTGTGGGGTCTTGGAGGTCTTTGAGAAACATTGGGAGGCTTTTGTAAATGAAGCCCCTGGTGCCGGATGCTCTCCTGCAGACCCACGGAGCTCTCCATGAGCATTATCAAAAGTGACCCAGGGAGGTAGGGACACAGCTCTGGCTCAGGCTGCTTGTGTCCTGGACCAGCTGCTCTGTGTGTGACCTCACAGGCCAAGACTTAGCTGCCTGGGTTCCTTGCCTGTGGGTGCGTGTGATGGGGACCACATGGTCCTTACGAGGCTGTCGGAGATTGGATCGGTTTTACTGAGCACAAACAGGGTAACCCTTGGACACATGTGGCAATTCCATTGAGACAAAGATTAAAAATTCAGTTCCCTGGTTGCACTAGCCACATTTTAAGTGCTGGTGTGACTGTGGCATCAGACAGCACAACATATAGAGTGCTCCTGTCCTTGYGGAAATCCCATGCACGACGCTGATCCCAGGATTCAGGCCTGGCTCAGACACGGGGTACAGAGGCCACCTGCAAGTGTCCTTTCTGGGTAGGAACCTGTCCAGGGACGGGGTGTCACGTGGCTGCCCCTCTCTGGCCTCTGAGGCGTGAGGGCATCAGGTTGCAGGTGCACCTGCCCTTAGCTGTCGGAGGGGAGAAAGCGGGTCTGAGTGGGCCCTGAGTGGACAGCCTGGCCACGGCCTGCCTGCAGGGGCTGTGGGGTGGTGCTTGCACCTAGGGCTCCTAAGGGCAGAGCAGGAGGTAGCAGTTGTCCCCACACAGTCTCTAGCAGAATCCATCTGCTGGACTCCCATGAGCAGAGTGCAGCACAGGCAGGACAGTTGATGGAGAGGTGCCCAGCTGCCCAGCAGTCAGGCACCAGGCTCTTGTACCCTTTGTGCTCCTAAAGAGTCAGGGCTCCTCCTCCTGAGCCCTGGCAGCTTGGGTGTGTTCAGGTTCCCCAGGGGACCCTAAGGCCCTTACCTGACATGTTGCCGAGCAGTGGAGTAGGATGAGCGGCTGGAAAGATTGCTGGTCTTATAAAATACATGTATCATTTTCACAATCTTGTGTCACACAGCCGAGAAACCTACAATGCGCTTACTAATTGGTTAACAGATGCCAGAATGCTGGCGAGTCAGAGCATCGTGATCCTCCTCTGCGGGAACAAGAAGGACCTGGACACTGACCGGGAAGTCACCTTCCTAGAGGCCTCCAGGTTCGCGCAAGAGAATGGCAAGTCTCTTCCCCCTCGTGGCTCTCGGTGTGGACATGGGTGCTGTGCTGGTGCTCTTCAGGAGGGTCGAAGTTGGGCTGTGTTTGGGAAGGCAGAACTGCCACTAGGGTGTGAATTCAGTCAGCGTGGTCACACAGCGCACCCTGCCCCAGAGCCCAGGGCCCCCAGAGCCACCACGCTGATGGAAACACCTGTAACACTTTGCAAGGTCTCTTCCGCCCCGGGCTCAGTCAGCACTCTAAATTGTGTCCTTGTGCATGGAAAGGAAGCCTCAGACCCGCTTCTGGCCAACTGGCTGTGCTTCCTGTAGACCATCAGAGCCACTTGGTACATATGGCTTTGACACCTCTGAAGTGCCAGATAGGACATACAAGACCACCACATAGCATGGGTGGCTGCTCATGGGTAACAGGATGGAGCAAATGCGGACGTTTTAGGTAACTTGAACTGTGAGTGCCAATCAACAACTAGAATATCCTAAAGTCAGGTTTGATTGGTCTCTAGGCCCCAAACAGTGTTCCTACAGCTCTGCGGGTTTTTTGCTAAGAAAGTAAACATCAGAGACGCACATAAGCCATAGCGAAGGAGCTGCTCAAGGGTCACAGCTCAGTATCCTGTGCTGGGAGGAAGCAGAGGGGGCCTTCACCTCAGGGGCAGGTACACGCCTCCCRCTGGGCCCTGGTGGCTCTGGGGGTGGGAGCCACAGTGCACATTGGGGCCACTCGCAGTGTAGTCCCCTGGTTGGCAGATACTTGCAAGTCCTGTTCCTGGTGAGACAGTTTATTTGGAGAAGGACATTGAGGCTTCCCGTGCACTGGGGGTAGGGCCCGTTCCTGCCTCCTTCCTGATGGTCATTGGCACAGAGAGCCTGTTTACARGTTCATCCATCTCCCCAACGGATCAGGGCCAGCCAAGACAATAGCTAATGTTTGAAAAACATTAGATACCTCCAACATTTTTCAATTTTGATTTTGTGTTTATGTGTTTGGGGGTCTTCTGTGGAGCTGGGGATTAGACTGAGGGCCTTGCACGTGCTGGGCAAGCCTTCTACAGCTTGATCACATCCCCAGAAGCCCCYAAATCTTTTTTTTTTTTTKATATGGGGTCTTACTAATCCTGTTAACATTTTTTTAAAGCATGTTGACATATACTGATTTTATTTTTTCAGAAATAGATGGCTGTAGGTCATGAATCGGGCCTTCCTGCCATTCTGAGAACACTAAGCAGCCTGTTAGAGATTGACAAGTGCGATCACCATCTAAACACACCGTGTCTTGTTTGACATCACTTTCAGAGCTGATGTTCCTGGAGACAAGTGCGCTGACTGGGGAGAATGTAGAAGAGGCATTTGTGCARTGTGCACGAAAAATACTCAACAGGATCGAGTCAGGTAAAGCGCCCTTGGTAGGCATAGTCCTGCTACTTGCTCTTCCTGCTGGCTCTGCAGGGTCCCCTTCTTGCATGGTGACTGGGCAGAGCAGATTCTCTGTACCTCCTGACTTAAAATCTCCACTGAGGGTTCAAAGGGCCCATGGCTGAGATACAAGCCCCAGGCCTAAGGGTGGTGGACCTGCCTGACCCCAGGGCAGCATCTCCAAGGTCTCTTCAACAGCTTGCTCCTTCTCTCATGGGGTCAGGGCTACAGGATGTTGTGGGAACGGCAGACACTTGTGTAGTCACTCCAGGCCCGATGCAGGCAAGGACAAAGTGCCAGCACTGTCCTCTGTCAGACTAGGTTCTCACTGTCACCAGATGATGCCAGGGCAGTAGGAAGGAGATTGAGGTCACCCAGGCAGGCTTCCAAGTAGGTGCCGAGCGGGGCATCTGCAGCTATAGGGCAGCAGTCAGCCCAGGGACATGAAGGAGGGGAGGCAAGGGCAGAGAAGCTAGGAGGTAGGACTGGCCTGCAATCCTTGTGAGGCCAGGAGCTGCCTCTCGAAACTCGGGGATTCCAGCCTGGCTGCACAGCAGCCACCCAGAGTGCCACAGGAGCCCTGCCCCTGCCCATGTCTTGAGCTGCTAGAACAGGGCTGGAGCTGTTCTGAGACTGACATCCACCCAGGAGGAGAAGCTCTGTGGGAGGTCAGGCAGGGTGCCATCAGGGTGACTGAGGTGATCAGACAGGGGCTCCAGGGAGGACAATGGGAAGAGAGACGGCACTCAGGGACCATCCAAGCACAGGACAATTGGCAAGCTCGAGCCAGGACACAGAAGCAAGGAAGGGAGATGAGCCCAGACATGGTGGCAACAGCACCAATGGGCTAGTGGTAGGACGGTGTCACCAAGAATATGTCAGTGCCCCTTGGGCAGGGGGACCTCAGAGGTAGGATCTTCTCTTCAGTGTCAGGAGACCCAAACAAAACTGAGCAATGGCAGCACAGGTTTAGTCCATGGCCAAAGTGTGGAGCAAGGGACCCCAGCCCAGTCATCTCCTCAGCCAAGTGRAGGAACAGACATGAGATGGGGACAGTGGGAAGCCCAGCCTAAGCCATCTCCTCAGCCCAGGTGGAGGTGCAGACGTTGGATAGGGACACGGGTGTGAGCTGCACTGCCCCATGTACATCACCATGCACATATCATGCACAYACAGGAACACACATGTGAGCTGCACTGCTCCATGTACATCATCTTGCACATCGTGCACACACAGGGACACAAGTGAGCTGCACTGCTCCAAGTGAACATCATGCATGCACAGAGACACACATGTGAGCTGCCCTGCTCCACATACACATCATGCACACACAGGGACAGGTGTGTCAGATGCACTGATCCCGTGATCACTGAGATCTGTGGTACCAGCCTATTTTGGAGGTTTGGTCATGCCAGTACCTGCTATTCATGAACTCTAGCACACTAGTCTGAAAGCACCAAGAGTGTGATTCCAGTCTCGTGCAAAGTGCTGGTTAGGCAGGGGCTGTGGCACCCCCTGTCAGCAGGTGCTTCACTATGCTGTGTCCTGGGGTGTTATATTATCTGAGTTGCGTTTTTGCCAGTTTAAAAGTAGACAGTGGCATCTTAATAATTCAGTTTTAAATTGACTTTATTTTGCATACATAATATATCCATGAAATTCCAAATTCAGGTGGTACAAGAGAACAAGCAGAAGGGACCTTCCACACCACCTCTGCTGTTCCCTGTCATGGGGACACGGGGCAGCCACTTTGTTCCCAGTCCTCTGTGTCCTAGAGGTGGTTAATGCATGTGYGTGCTAACATACACGTTTTTCCTCTTTCCTGGAAAGGGGGGAAAATGTTCATGGTGTTCCACACTTTTTTCATAATTTGTTTGGGGATCATGGAATAATAACAATCCTTTTTAAAGAGATGTGCTTATCCCATAGGTGAGCTGGACCCAGAAAGGATGGGCTCAGGCATCCAATATGGAGACGCCGCCCTGAGACAGCTCCGGTCCCCACGCCGCACACAGGCTGTGAGCGTGCAGGAGTGTGGCTGTTAGAGCCGTTACACAGGTGGGTGTGCCCGCTCCCTGATCCCCGATCCACCTGCCGCCTGCAGCAGGAGGGCCACGGAGCTTCAGTAGGAAAGGAGGCGCCGCGTTAGCCAGAGTCCACGCTCAGGAGCTCCCAGGCCCTTCAGAGGACGGCAGGGCACATGGGGACKGGAGTGGCCGAAGCCCACCCACCCTGGTGCCTGCCAGGGCGCTCCTTGGTTTCTCACATCTCCATGTGGCACCTGTGTGCCCAGCTCCTCCAGCACCCAGCAGGTGTATTTCTGAGTTTGTAGGTRTGTATGTTCCCAATGGCTCTGTTTTTCAGGTGTCTGCGTGGTGTTGGGACAGTGGCTGAAGCTTGGAGAATCTGCAGCTTTTCCACTCTTCTCTGAGCAGAAGTGGATCTTATGGGGACGCTACTCCAGCTGGCAAAGGCAGCCCAGGAGCCACGTAATAAACCTGATGTGAGGGACGACACCGGCCGATGTGTACGCGCATGTGACTTTCCTGTTCCTTGTCCCCCGCCCCATCCGAGAGCACACACGCTGTGCTGTGTGACCCCGTCCGTCTCCCCAGCATGTTCCTGGGGTGTGATAGGATAGGAATAGTGCTCTAAATGCAGTTGGGTATTTCATTAACCACAGGCACAGAGATTCGTGTTGGTGTACTTGTGACCAACATGCAAGGGCCCTGGCACCTGCAGCCGGGGTCCCATTTATTCACCCGCACTTACCACACTCCACCTTACATGCCCCACACTGGAGATGCTGGAGCAGTYGCCCTTCACCAGCGACCCGAAATGAAATAAAAAATTGGTGTTTGGTGAATTGGCACTGTCCTGCTCCATGGGCTTCAGGGCTCCTCCCTGAGGCCAGGCCAGGGTCTGTGTCCCACCCAGCAGACAAAACCTACCGGCTCTCCCTGCTGCCCCTTCCTAGCAGGAAGACCGCTAGAGTCCAGCCTCAGGGCACCCTGCCTCTACCTCAAATCTTTTGTGTTGTGTTCTGTTTTGTTTTTTTACTTCTTTTATACTGAAGCCTGAGGTGTTCCACCACTGAGCCACATCCCAGCCTTTCTTATTTTGAGACAGTTTTCCCAGGCTGAAACTTTAAATCCTCCTGCCTCAGCCTCCCAAGTAGCTGGGATTACAGATGTGCACCAACATGCCCAGCCTCATCCTCATTGTTTACTTTTTTTTTTTTTTTTTTAATTTTGGTACCAGAGATTGAACTCAGGGCACTCAACCACTAAGCCACATCCCCAGCCCTTTTTTGTATTTTATTTAAGACAGGGTCTCACTGAGTTGCTTAGGGCCTTGCTAAGTTGCTAAACTGGCTTTGAAATTGTGATCCTCCTGCCTCAGCCACCCAAGTCACTGGGATTACAGGTGTGCTCCACTGCGCCCAGCTATTTACTTTTTTTTTTTTTTTTTTTTAAAGAGTGAGAGAGGAGAGAGAGAGAGAGAGAGAATTTTTAATGTTTATTTTTTAGTTCTCGGCGGACACAACATCTTTGTTGGTATGTGGTGCTGAGGATCGAACCCGGGCCGCACGCATGCCAGGCGAGCGCGCTACMGCTTGAGCCACATAATTATTGTATTTATCTGCCTATTTAGCAATACTGAGGACCGAACCCAGGGCACTCCATCACTGAGCCTTATCCCCAGCCCTTATTTTTATTGAGACAGGGTCTGCTAAGTTACTGAAGCTCACCTTGAACTTTTGCCCTCCTGCTTGGCCATGGATATGCCCCCTCCCACTTGCATGTTGTGTTCCTTTTCTGGAGACCCACAGACTCTAGTTCATGTCATAAGGGTCATACTTATTAAGAAAGCCTTCTAAATCTTTGCTGGTGGCTTGATGCATGCTGTGGTTACCAGGCTGGCCTGGAGTTGATCCAGCAAGGCCTGGCAGGTGTGAGGCGGGGACACCTATTATGTCACCGAGACTGTCCTCATTCTTAAAAATGCCAATGCAAAAAATAGATAAAGACCTTTCTCTAAGGTTGAAATAGGTATTATTTAAGTCAGAGAGGTTAAAAAAAATTCTTCACACTGGGTATGGTATACATACCTCTGATCCTGCTACCCAGGAGGCTGAGGCAGGAGGATCACAGTTTAAGGCCAGTCTCAGAACTTAACAAGAACTCGTCTCAGTAAAAAATAAAAAGTGCAAGGGATGTGGCTCGGTGGTAGAGCACCCAAGTTCAGTCCCTGGTGCAGAAATAAGAAACATTTTTACCATATATGCCTTTCCACTGGGACTTTTTAACTATGGACCAGAAATTTAACTTTAATTTAGAAGCTTCCCAGTGCTTATTCTCTTTTAATCAATAAATAAGCACAGAGACACAAACTCTGGGAAGTTATTTGACTAAAAAATCAGTATGTATCTGTTTTAGATATTTTGGGTTTTTTCCCTCAATTCCTTGAACATTTTACTTTGAAAAATGATTCTGAAGCAAATTCTCAAACTGGACCATGCTCCAGTGTCTCACCCTGGAATGGTGTCATCCACTGCCCTCAGGGTCAGCTCTTCATGGGAGGGGAGGAGCCTGTTGCATTCACAACAGGGTTTAGGACAGCGCTGGGCTGTTTGCAACCCTTAAAGCAGCGGCAGAGGAGGGGTCTGCTGGGGAGTAGACCCAGTGCCCTTCCTGAGGCTCCTGCCCTGGAGGACGCCTGGTCACCACATCTTCAAGGAAGCGCATGTAGATTCTGGATTGGCAGTTTCCAGTCTTGCAAGAGCAAGGCTATAGCATCGCTTACAYGGGTGGTCACAGTCCTTCTGCAGCCTGGCTCTCTTGTGAGAGCAGGATGTCACAGCTGGAGACATGGCTGTGGCTTCTAGAAGACCCCCAGGGGAAGAACCCAGTACCCAGCAGKTCAGTGGTGAACTCAGACAGGAATRATGGGCACGCTGGGGCGGCCTGGTGGGAGCTCACGTTCAGCATCTCTGGGCTTTTCTTTTTTGGGGGGGAACAGTTAGAGGGGCCTCGAGTTGCCTGTGAGCTTTTAATGATTGTATGCCAGTTGTCAGGCAACTCTTTCCTGATCTATCTTAGAATTTCTGGGGACTTTATCGAGAACACTGGACTTGACAACCTGGGCCCAAGGGGCCAGAGGGCACAAAGTGACGGTCAGGGAAGCTTTGGTTCTCCTTTTGGCGCACTGGTCTTCCTCCATGTTTCATCATGGAGATCTTCGATATCCACCTGTGGGGATAAAGCAGCAGAGCAAACTGCTCAGTCACATAGCTGTCTACAGGACTCCAATTTACCCTTCCAACTTCACCTGCTTCATATGCTGTGTTAGTTGGAAACACTGGAGGCTTTCCAGATTCTCTGGAAAATGGTTCGTTTCCATCTTAAGAAGTCCCTTGCCATTGGGAACTTGGAAGGCAAAGATGGTGATGTCTTTTTCTCATCTTGCCATTACAGTTGGTTTTCTCTTGTGAAGTCCTGGGGCCATCCCAGCATGTGGTTGGTGGTTCCTGGAGGGCTGTCCCCTGGCCCTGGGAAGCCATGCCCCAGCAGGGCCCCAGGACCAGCCTGCCCCCTCAGCCAGGCACAGCTGCTGGATTTCTTAGCACGGGGACATGAGGTGGATCTCATTCGGCTTGTCTCCGTGGTCTGGACTGTACTTTGAGGCCTGTATTTTATGATGGAGGACACATTTGGCTCTGCTGCKTATCTACCTGCACTGATGGCATCTAAGCAGCGCTAGTGTCTCTCTGTCAATTCAGTGAAGGTTAATAATACTTCTAAATGGAATTTTGAAACAGAATTTGACAAGCTCATCCTGAGAGCCACATAAAAGTAAATAACTAACTGCTTGGTGCAGTGACACAGCCTGTGGCCTCAGCAACTAGCCAGATCCTGTCTCAAAAAACAGAGGAGGGTGTCGCTCAGGGACAAGGTGCCCTGGGTTGTCCCCACACCACAAAAAGGAAAGGCCCAGGAAATGGGAAGGTGAGGGACTGCAGACACAGACATGCTGCCAAGCCACAGGCAGGGGACGCCACAGAAGTGCTTAGAGCTGCCATCTGGCCCCCACTGGGGGCCAAAGGAGGGACAGAGGAGCTCCTCTAGAGGGTTTCCAGAGGCTGGTGGAAGCACACAGTGGGCATGGAGGGGAGTGGCAGTGGTGAGAATCCCTCTTTGGTGGCTGATTTGTATCCTGTTTAATTCTATGTTTTTGATATGGTGAAGTTCAGACCCCAAGTTCCAATCTGCCTCCCTATTGGCAATTCCCATGCCTGATAGTAGGATGTGGACCCACCTGGGMGGATCTGGCCTGGGAAGAGGTCACCATGGGCTCAGTTCCTAGCCATCTTTGGCTTGCTGCTTAGGGTCAGCTCCACTGATGAGTGTTGTGCACAAGGTGAGTGGGCCAGCAGCCCAGGAGCTCCTAAGTAACTCTGAGAACAGGGTGAGGGGCTGCACACCTATAATCTCACTGACTCTGGAGGCTGAGGCAACAGGACCTCAAGTTCAAGGCCAACCTGGGTGACATAGTGAGACCCTGAATCGAAATTAAAACTGAAGGGCTGGAGATGTAGCTCTGGTAGAGCATCCTGGGACCTCCACCCTCCCTAGTGCTACAAAAAAAAAAAAAAAAAAAAAAAGGCAGAGTCCTTACCCAGCTCCCCTTGCCTCTCTCCCCAGCACTGGCTGGTTCCTTTCCTGATCCTGCAGCCTAGCACTGCCCACTGCTGGACCTGGGTTGCCCCTCAATAGGGAAGAGAGCCATTCCACCCAGCCTCAGGCTGGTGGTGCCTCARCTCCAATGAGGAGAGATATTGGGTCTCCCCAACCCCATGACTTCTTCAGGCTCCTGCTGCCAAACAGTGTCTCCTAGGATCTTCAGCATGAAAAATGAAGAACCAGACAAAAAGGGGGCCGTCCCCACTCTATAGGCTGCAGATGTCCATCTCCTGTGTCCATCTCCTGCCTCTGAGTGGCAGCTATTGGGTCTGTACATCCTGCTCCTTCTGTGCTTGGCCATGAGGAGCTCAGGTCAGGAGGACAAGAGAATAAGGCTATGTAAGCTCAGGGTGGAACACCAGGGGAAGGTGGTTCTTCAGGCTGTCCTCCCTGGCTTGAGATGTACCTGGTCAGTGTTCCACAGCTATGTGCAGTGACACAAAACGTGCTTGCCCATCTCATCTGGAACCAGAGACTTTGCTAAAAGACAAAGTGGAAAACACTGCAGGGTGTGTATAGCAATAACACATAGTAGTGCAAAGTCACAGCATGTGCATGCACCTGCAGAGGGCTCCGAGGCCGAGCTTGCACAGGCCACCTGGCTCCCCCAAGAGGGAGCTGTGTCTAGAGCTCTGCAGGGAGTCCCATTCCCACCCCACATCATGGGCACTCTGCRGCACTGACACTTTCTTGACTTCCAGACACCAGGGCCACCGAGGCTGTGTTCAGCACACAGCTCTCCTGGATCCCAGTGCATCTGCTGGACATCCATGGAGGATGCAGGCACCAGCACAGTGCTTGCTCTTCCAGCCACAAGCGCACCAACCAAAACTGCTTCTCAGAAACAAGAAGACTCAGATAAATGCTATATGAAATGTGAGCTGAAACCACATTTCTTAGGAAAGACAAGTCCTCGCTGCCCGGGCCGCAGTCCAGGGCTGCCTGTGATCTGCAGAAGTCTGAAGTGAACCCAGTGCTTGCCAACACAAGGGCTCTCAGACCAGCCATGCTAAGGGGAAAGATGCGAGGAGGGCACCCAGCACCTGCATCCCAAGAGAAGGCTCTTGAAGGGGCAAGGTTGGGCCAGCACTACCCTGGCTGCAGGCCGGGTGTTGGGCATACTCACTCCTGGTAACTCTAGTCACTCTAGCACACAAAAACCCACCCCCAATGCAAAACTTCTGCTTGACCAGGTCATATTTTCAGGGCCATTTTTCATGCTCACTGACCAGACTCCAGAGCGAGGACTTTCTATGGTCAGGTACTGGCCCTTGGAAGCCAAACTACTCTGTGGTCAGGCCATCGGCAGCAGTCCAGTGTTGCTACTCCACACTGAAGTGTCAGCCACCAGGAAACCGCTCTAGTGTGCTCCACCCTCCCCTTCACTGCTGACACTTTTAGGTGTCTTAAGTGCCCCGATCTCCAACTCCRCAGTTACAGCTAAGGTACCATTGCCAAGGCTGTTCCTAACTGCAGATTTAGCAGTCACAGCTTCCGCTAGCTGACAGCCCAGGCTGGCACTCTTCCCTGAAGCCTCACAAGCTCTGTCCCATGAACTCAGGCCTGGGACTTGCTTGACACTGGAGGTACTGACCACTGGTCTCTGGGGTGGGTATGTGCTGGCTACCCCCAGAGCATGACCCAGTCATCACTGGAGCTACACAAAGGCGCTCAGGAACTGGGTCGGGTGCACCAACAGGGCACCAGGAGCCAGACAGCTCCAATCAGGGCAGGGCAGTCAGATGCCCAAGGATTCATTGGTCCAGCAGAGGGCTGGATGTTATTGCTCCCAATATTCAATGACTAGCTTCAGTATAAAAGTAAAAAAAAAAAAAACAAGTTGGTTTATGGCAAATTGTTTTAATACGAACTTAAAGCCAAAATTTTAAAAGACTTTATGTAGCATTTAAATAACACTGGATTCTCAACCAGTTCTACTTTTCCAACCTGAAGGCAGCTTTACATTATCTCCCTGTCTTGCAACATGTCCTAAGAATTAGGAACATGATCAGCACCACATCTRTTCCCAGTAAAAGAAGAAAGTAGGAATGTCACATTGTCACAACTTTTACAAATTCATAGGCTCAAAAGGTAACTGCGCCCTTGAGGGAAAAAAAGGGAAGAGGAGGATCTTGACCATCGAGGGCTCAGACAGGAGGGACCACAGCTACTACACTTAGCCACTGGTTGTTCATGCTCATCAGAAGTCCCTTAACTACCTTGTCCATCCGTCTTCACTTATAAAGAAGGGGGACTTGCTGATCTGCCTTCCAGGCTCCCTTCTGCCTGGAGACAGAAAGCACACAGACAAGTGTTTCCTAGATGTCCGGGAGACACAGGCTGGAAGAGT